AGCAGTTGTTGTGGTGTTTGACTGCCAGCAAGGGTCAAAACTATGACATATGCAAAAATTGCATTGCCATTAGCAGAAATTTGTTCCATTGTTCTCACTACATTTTTTATCCTCTTTATTTATAATGAGATTTTTCTTTCAGGCTTATGTCTGAAACCTACCTGGGAAGGGATCATTGGTGAGACAGGCATCTGGTTTAGGGCAATGACTCAGTTATTTTAATATTGACTCAATTTGATCCAAGACTTTGCCCCATAAAAAACAACTAAAACCAAGTAATTTAAGTTCAAATGCTCAAGCGCTGGGTTTATAGAGTTTCTTGGCTTTTGGTGTTTTATTGAAACCCTTTCTTTCCCCTATCTGGTAGATATTGAAAGGACTTCAAGACTAGCAGCACAAGAACATGAAGAATATTTGGTCTGACTTAAGTCTGACAGCTAATTTCTTCCTCCCCCACTCCATCTGCACAGGCAGAGTGAAAAGGTTACTTTGAGGCATGGAGAAAGATGAGGCAGGAGGAAATTCTCTGTGCTTAAAAAAAATAAACAGTGAGGAATTGTGGTGACTGCATAGGTAAACCAAAGTTTATTTACGAAGTACTTTTCTCTGCAGAGATGTTACCAGTGTCTGTGGGGGTGGCTTACATAAATATCATTATTATCTGATAAGAAAGTGGCACCCAGTGGTTCGAGAGTACAAAAAATTATGTCTTTGTTTCTGGTCCTGTTTTGAGTTGGATTTTTAGAAGCAGTGGCTGCCTGCTTCTGCAATTTGCCTGTGGGAGATGGGGAGGCTAGTGCTTCTGAAGACCAGGGTCATGGATTTGCAGCTTGACATTCTCAGATAGAAATGTGTCCCTGAAAACTTGCCATGATGTGAATTGCTTAAGACTGCACAGTCAGTCTGCATTGTCTGAGAGACGATCCAGGATAATATTCTGAATACAAAAGTGTAATTTCCCTCATTGGTGGAAATGCTTATGTAACTTTTGAATGGTGATTTTACAAAAAAACCTTAGTTTTCTTATTAAGCAGTTAGATGACTGACGTCATTTTTTCAGTTACTAAGAAGTCAATGTTTGCAAATGCTTATTCATGTTCTTTGTATTTTTTCTTAGTTGCAGAAGCAATTTGGATTTGAATATCAAACGTTAGTGGATGGTGAGGTTATCCTTCATCTTTACAACAGAGGAGGAATAGAACAAACAGCATCCATGCTAGATGGTGTATTTGCTTTCATCCTTCTGGACACTGCAAACAGAAAAGTGTTTCTGGCAAGAGATACCTATGGAGTCAGACCACTGTTTAAGGTGCTGACTGATGATGGATTTTTGGGTGTCTGTTCTGAGGCAAAAGGTAAAAACAGTTGTGTTTAGTGCCTAAGTAGTCTTAGGTGTTGTTGTTGGAGGCAAACTTCTTTGTCAGGCTTTTCTTCTAAGTGTGAAGAGAAAGTGAACTGTAAGTTCAGTAAAAAATTAACTGTATTAGTAGTATAAGAACTATACATCATTAAAACAAAAACCACAGGCAGTAAACCTCTAAGACGTTTAATTGTCCTAAATATCTGTGAAATAACTTGCTTATTTAATTGTGTAATTCATTGTGTTCTGGAATCATAGCAATATAGAACCCAAGATGTTTTGTGTTACCCCAAAGTTAAATGTAGTCTACAGAGTTAGGCTAGATCTATGTTACGATAAATTATATTGAATTTGATCCTGGTGTTCTATGGTGAACTGGGAAATAATGCCACAAGAACTGTTAATCTGTAAAAGTCAAGAATTTTAAAACCCTACTGAAATTTTCTGCAGCATTGGATAGTTTTCTGGTGACACTTATTTTATTTGATGATGATTTTTTACATTTGAGATGACACATCCACTACTTTTTGTTTGTTTTAAGAGATTCTCTCTAGTCTTGACACTTGCATAGACAAATCCAAACTTGCTGACTTCCTTTCTCTGCTATCTGCCTTAGCTTGAGATGGCTCAGATCAGTATGTGTGCAACTTGCCAGAAGCAGAATCATGCTCTAGTCAGGGCAGACTCCCACTAAAAAGTGCTTTTCTAACACCAAATTTAGGAACTGGAAAAAATATTTGTATATAGTTTTAGTACAGATGCTGTTGAGTGAGGTATAACTTGACCATCCTAGGTTAAAAACTCTTGACTTTTTTTTTTTCCCATTTTATCTGTAGGACTTATCAACTTAAAGCATTCAACATCCTTATGTCCTAAAGTGGAACCATTTCTTCCGGGTCATTATGAAGTGTTGGATTTAAAGCCCTCTGGCAAGGTTGCATCAGTGGAATTAGTAAAATTTCATAGCTGTAAAGATGAACCACTCCATGCTGCATGTGATACAGTGGAAACTCTGCCTCCAGGTAGTACAGCAAAGAATTTGCTACTTATTCTTATTAAAAAGTGAAAAAATTATAATCTTGGAATATAACATTTACACTGATTTGCTTTAAAAAGTGCCATTTAAAAAAAAAAAAACAAACCTTGAAGAACCTTTATAACGTAGAAACTTGAGAATTGTTTTTGTAGGCAGTCATGTACAAAGACGAACTTGCATGCCCTCATTATCAAAGGAAATTCAGACAAATATCTTTGTTTCCTAATAGCATAATCCAGCAAAGTCTAAGTAACACTTGGATTTTTTTCTCTTCTTTTCTTTTCTGGACAGGCTTTGATCTTGAAACAGTGAAAAGCAACATCCGTATGCTGTTTGAAAATGCTGTTAAAAAACGTTTGATGGCTCACCGAAGGATTGGTTGTCTTTTGTCAGGTAAGTAGCAAGAATCACAATGATTTTATATCTTTTTTCTCTTTTGCCCGTCCTCTGCTATTTAGAGGAAAGTGTACTGGCTGTTCTGCTGTGATGTACCTGAAGTGATCTGAATCTTCATTTGCTTTTTAGAACAGATAACTTGCTAGTTTGTGATAAAGTTTTCCGGTTTACAAGTATCTTGAAAGTCTTAAGCTTTTAAAGTTTGGTCTGGGATGTTTGCTTGTTGACACACTGACCATTTTTAACTAAGAGGAAAGAATATAATATTCTTATTGAAAAATCACCCAACATACTCTTTAAAGATTTATTCTTAGGTTGGTGTCTAAAAAGGAAACGTAATTATTACATTCGCTTTACACAGATTTAGCATAGAAAAAAGCGTGTTTTAGATAGCAGGAGGAAGTGATTTCTTGTCACCTTCTTTGCTTTAGCCTCCATCCTAGACTGCCCTTGATTTACCAATTACAGGGGAGCATCTGGACCGAAATTATTGGCCACAGTCTTTTTCAGGTGAGGTAATAGCTTGTGGTACAGGAAGTTGTTCACTGATTTAGCTCATTAAGTGTTGTGATCTGGTTGGTCAGTGTCCCAGAGGTAAGGCTTTGTAGCCATGGGACCGACATCTTATTTACTGTGTTTTTGTAGCACTTTGTACTTGTGGTTAGAGTTCTGATACACTGTTCATGCATGCATTGAACATCAGTAGTTACACTCATTTTTCATGAACCCTGTTAAATGTGCATTTGAATGAGAGAGAACTGACTAGGAGATACTGCTGGACCACTTCCGTACTGTGGCATATTAAAAAGTAGGAGGGAGGTAAATGAAACAGGGAGATATGCAGAGTTGGAAGATGCCAGCCTCAGTGAAAAGCCTGTTCAAACTCCAAATTTCAGATTCCAAATTGGAAGGCTGTCAGCAGCTCCTCAGATGCACATGCAGAATGTATTAAGTAAAAACAAAGTGCCTGTCTTGGTATAGTACCAGAGTATCTCAATGCTTCACAATTTTGAGTATGCTTGGAGGACCACAGTTGGAGAAGTGCTTTTGTTGCTAGTCACGGGGGGAGTTCTGCAACTTAACAGTGGAAACTCAGGTTTTGATTTCACTGATTTCTGCATCCTAAGTACCCAGTTTGATATTTGTGCTCTCCTTTTCTCAGACTCTGCATGTACTTTCTACAGAATGAGATTTTATTTTTACCAGGTAGCATGCCCACAAAGGGGATCAGGGTGGGAAAGGATGCTAGTACACTCAGCTGAAAAAACATATGCAGACTGTAGGAAACAAAGAGAGAAGGATTTTGCCTCATGCTGGTCAGAACTGCAGGCAGGTGTGGGAGAACAGGTACTGTATTCTTCTCAGTACTTTAAAGGGGATCAGCAAGTAGAACTAGTCAAGGATTAGCAGGACTAGCTCACGAGAATAAGAAGGTGGGACCTTGGAGTACATCTGGGCACCTTGTGCATCTCTTGGTTTTATTTTTTATTTGTTTCCCAAACTCTTCAAATCTTTTCACAGTCCTCCTCTGAGAAGAAGAGGAAAACCAAGAATGTCACTACTGAACTTTTTCACTTTGAAGTGATGTTAAAAAATGAATTCCACTCAAAATGTGTGAAACACACTTTTAAAAAATGATTGCAAAAGAGTGGAATCCTTACACTAAGCATTCTGTTCTTAATTCTTTTTTTATTCAAACAGCAAACCAAAAAAAAAAATTATGTAGTTCTGTCAGTAGAGTATCAAATGTGTAGGCAGGAAGAGGACAGAGAGCAGTTTTGAAATGGAAAATAAATCCCATTATAGCCGAGTTGAGAAGGGGCATGTTCTCTAGTGGCTTCAGAACACTTTCTGTCTATCTTGAAGAAGGATTTCTACTGATGCTTCTGACACCAAAAGTACTAACAACTGTTGCTGAAGATGTTCCACTGAAGTTGCTTGACTCGTTAGTAAATGTGCACTGTACAAGAAGTTCCGTGGATTCCCACAGCTTAAAAATGAAGCCCACTCATGAGATTCCGCCATCTAGATTCAGTGTCCTTAAGGGGAAACAAAAAACAAGACAAACACTTAACCAAATAATTTGTTTTGTTGGCAGGGGGCTTAGATTCCAGCTTGGTTGCAGCTGTTCTTCTGAAACTGATGAAAGAAATCAACATCAGTTATCCATTACAAACCTTTGCAATTGGAATGGAAAACAGTCCTGACTTGCTGGCTGCCAGAAAGGTATAGTAAGTGTTTCTTTTAGTTTGTTTAGAGCTGCTGAATGCTAAACGGTGTATATTAATGGTGCAAACTTCATCGTATTGTATTAATAGTAATACTGAATGTTCATGTATTGCTGTGATGTAAACCAGTTTGCAGTAAATCATTTAGTACAACATTTTCTGCTTAGTTAAACCTTACAAAAGAGATAATTGAGCCTTACCTGTTTTCTCTTGCATTTGGAAGACTTTCATGACAGAATTACATTGCTTTGTTACCAAAAGGATGGTACTTTGGAGTTGTCTCAATTCTGCATCTGGGTTTCAGGGTAAATCTCCATGCTATGGTTCCTATGCTATGGAATTTATATATATGTTAAATGTTATAAATTAATTGTCAATTTACTAAATTAAGAGCCTTGTACAAACTGTTTGGCATCTGGGGCACCCTTTAGGTATCCGGTCTGTCATGGCTTCTGAGACACTTTTTCTTTGCAGGGCAAATACCTAAGAGTATTTAGAGCCTCTACAGATTCTGTTATGCTTTGGGCAAGTAGCTGGATGGTCTGTTGTAGTTGTGATTGAACACGGTAATTAGGGAGACTATGTTCCCTCTGGTGAATGTACCACTGCAAGTCAGAGGGGCTGCTACAATATCATCTTTTGGCCTAATGTCGTATAATTCTCACTGTGGCAGAAGGGAGCTGGTGTTTTCACTCAGTTTGTGTGTTTTAAACACAATGTATGTTTAAAAAATGTTTTAACTGAAAAGCAGTATGTTATTGTGGCCTTTTACAAACAGGTGGCAGCACATATAGGCAGTGAACATCATGAAGTAATATTTAATTCTGAAGAGGGAATTCAGGCAATAGAAGAGGTTATCTTCTCCTTGGAAACCTACGATATAACAACAGTAAGAGCTTCAATTGGTAAGATTTTTTTTAATAGCAATCTTTGCTTTATGTTGTCTGAATAAAATTTTATGCAAAATTGTTTAGTTATCTGCTAGATCCTTTAGCTGTCACAGAACCTGGGAACTGGGACTCCCAGGTTCTCCTGCCTGGTCTTGTCTCTGATACCACACCGAGACAAAATGAGTTACTAGTTTCAAAGTCACCAACTGTAGAAAACAACTGGCAAGAGCTGTTCCTGAAGCTTTGGGATGAAAAACAAAAGTTATATGAAGAAGAAACATTAGATCTACAGGTCTAGGTTTTCTGCTCTGGTAAGTATGAACATTGGAGGAAGGGGGAAAATTTACAGGTTATCCGAGTACTGAATTTTATGATTGCAAAGCAGTTATGATTACCCTATTCCTTGCATAATTTTAATACTAAAATGAAGTATTTCTTGTGATGCTCTTGTAACACATGTGCACTCAAACCAGGTAGACTTCTTATAATGTATGTTTGATTCGGAGAAATTAAGGAAGTCACTGGCAGCTTTTTACAAAGGGTTGCCAGCCTGATAAGAATTAAAAACTCTAATCCAGTTTGACCTTCTGTGTAATGCCAGCTATGTCGTTTTACCCGGTTAATCTTGTGTCATCCTAAAACATTGTAAGAAAGTTAATAAGCCAAATAGGTAACACAGTTTTGAAAACCCAGTTCCCTGAGTGGAATTTGTTATGTGAAGATAGGACTTTGCAATGTGAAATACTGGAAGTGTTGCTTTAAAAAATAAAGCCAACTTTTCTTTGTGATTGCTGCTTAGTGTGACAAATAATGAACTAGGTCTTTTTCTTTAGATCTGTAATACTGTTGTTATAAAAGCATATTGTTTGGAAGGATGTAATGAGGGGAAGGCATAATTCTGATTAATAAATAATTCTTTAAAAAAATGAAAAAAGGGCTTAATCCAGTTCAACCCACAGTGGCAGAGAGTTAAGCAGAAACTTTTGCTGTTAGTTTTTTTCTTCAAAGCTAAAAGGTTTGTTCAGGACTGTGCTGGAATTAATCATGTGCTAAATTTCAAACTGAGTCAGAACAATTCCTCTATGTGTTCCCACAGAAACCCTCCAGCATTCCCAGGATCACAGACACACACATCGTTCTGATATTTTGAGGGATAAATGTAAGAACACAGTTTAGATGTATTTGCAGCAGCTGTTTGTGTGGCTGTTGACAGCTTTGAGTAACAGAGATGTTATTTTAGTGCATTGCAGTTGTTTGCTACAGAAGAAAGTAGTGTTGGAGAGAAACTTCTAAAATGCTAAATTTAAAACTGTACTAGCTGTATATAGCATGATACCTGTAGCTGTATTTTAATAACCTAATACTTTTTTTTTCTTTAAGGTATGTATCTTGTCTCCAAATATATACGGAAGAAAACGGACAGTGTGGTCATTTTTTCAGGAGAGGGATCAGATGAGCTGACACAAGGATATATATATTTCCATAAGGTAAATATATTCCCTATACATAAAGCCATGGAGCTGCTTTTTCTCCCCTTCAAATCTCTGAGATTCAAGGTGTGATGTTTGAGAGTTGTCACAGCTGTATATTTGTTGAGACTTTCTCCTGAGGTAGCATAAAATCCAAAGGATTTAATTTAATCACCTAAAAAGTAACTTTTTAAACTTAAGAAATTCCTGAGACTGTTATTTCTTGTATGTGGTCTTCGCTAGTTCGGAGATCACTCGGTGATCACTAAAACTCAAACACAGGACAGCAAGTAATGGTTCCCTCGGTGCAGCTGTGTGATCTGTGTGCTACATGCGTATGTCTGGTTACAGGCACCGTCTCCCGAAGAAGCTGCAGAAGAGAGTGAGAGGCTTCTGAAGGAGCTCTACCTGTTTGATGTACTTCGTGCAGACAGGACTACTGCAGCACACGGGTAAAACAGCCTTTTGGAGGCTGAGGACTCGTGATTTAAAAGCCTAAGAAGATCTTTAAAGTTCTGCTGTTGAGGAAGTTACAACAGCTAACTGTTGACTTCTTGTTACTGTTTGAATTATGAAGTGATTCAGAATATTGTGATGCAAGATAATTTTATTCCTATTGTCTGGGTCTGAACTATTCTAAGATGATCATCAGCCTTCTCAGTAGTAGTAGCAAATGGGGTGCACTCCATACTCTCTACTTGAGCTCTGTATCATAATGTAACTTGAGACACCACCTGCTTTGGCAGAACAGGCATTGCTAATGTTCCAGGCATGTACTTGTGCTCTGAATGGGTGGGAAGCACGGCATGAGCACTAGCAGTCTCCAAGGCAGGCAAAACTGGTCTTCAGAGTCATCATCAATCATTTCTTTTCTAAACGCTACTAGACAAACTTGCTATTGTGATTGCTATGGAGAATGTTTTACCAAATAAAGTTTTAGCGAATGAGCGAAGATAGTGGACTTGGGGGCTGTTTCTGAACAGTAAGAGGAGTAATGAAACTGTGTATCTAGATGTATCTGCTTACAGTACCTCTTGGTTAATTGCATCTGCTTAGGGTAGCTCTTATTGGGGGTTTGTATCCTGAGATGAAACTGAAGTTGTAGCCTGAAGGAGTTCGAGCAACAGCAAACCGCACTGCAAAATTTAATCTGGTCTTCTCTGACTGTAGGGCTCACTGTATTGCTAGCTGATGCAGGAAATCTTTTGTCTGGGATTGTACTGGCCTTTATAGAAGCAGTGAATTAGAAATATAGATACACAGAGTTAAGGAGGGAAGGCAAAGTTGTATTTGACTTTGGGTTTTTTGAGGGTTAGACAAAGAAGAATCTTGAATCTGATAATCTCCATGTGCATGAAGAATTAAAAAAAGTACCAAAAGAGAAAAGCGTGTGCATTGTGTTGGGTAGCTGACTGTAATAAAAATGTTAGGGTATGGTCTGTGTGACTGATACCTTAAAGAATCACCAAATTGTACACTGCAGAAAATAGCATTACTAAAGTAATACATTAATTAAAAGGACAATATTTTTGGGAAGCTAGTTATTGATGGAAAAAGATGGTACCTTTGGCAAAGCGAATAACTTGCCTATCAGGAAACTTGTGTCATATATCGATCCTGACAAAAAATAACTTGCTGAGTTTTTTATAACTTATGTTTATCTTTCCTATATAAAACATGGGCAGGGTGCAGGAGACCTGCTATTTGCCTCATAATTTGTTTTGTGCTGATAAGTTTGGCCATGTATTCAGTGGTATCTTTACAAATGCTGATGCAAATCCCAGTGAGCAACTTGGTAGTTCTCTGGAGGCAACAGGATTTTTTCTCAATGTGTTTTCCTTATATGGTTGTCACAAATCCTGCAGGTCTTTAAATTCATTGTACTGGAAGCTGTCCAGCAGATGGCATAATAAATCAAGATCTTTATTTAATCTGTGCAGACCATATACTTAACTTTCCAAATTGATTAATTAAATGTAGCTAGTCATAAATATGCAAGTGAAATTTCTTCTAAGTAAAAGTAGAAAACCTTGGTTTTATGTGGAAGACAGGGAAGGCTTTGTAAGTATTTGTAAGGAATTTGTAAGTAGATGACTTCCTGGATTAATTCGGTATCTGTTCTATTTATTTCCCCTATTTAGTCTTGAACTGAGAGTCCCATTTTTGGATCATCGGTTTACTTCTTATTATTTATCTCTACCAGCAGAACTGCGAATCCCAAAGGTATGTAAAACCAGGGTTGGACCCAAGTGTAAGCTTACGAATTCACTGATATGTGTTCCATGCATCACCAAATTGCTGAATTCAATGGCTAAGTCCTCTACCCGAAGTCAAGCATGCTCTTAAATATTTTTCTGGATTGTTGGACTCTGGGAACCCTTTTCTGATCAGACTTTCTGAAAATAGACCTTAAGTGTTTAAAGCCAGATCTTTGCATTATAGTTCCTGAGACTCATAACATTGTTGTTCTGCAAACAGAATGGAATTGAAAAATACCTTTTAAGACAGTCCTTTGAAGATTCCAACTTGCTTCCCAAAGAAATACTCTGGAGACCCAAAGAAGCTTTCAGTGATGGTATAGCATCAGTAAAGAAATCCTGGTTTTCTATTCTTCAGGACTATATTGATCAACAGGTACAATACCACTTCTATTTTCTTTTTTTTGTCTTTCACATTTCCAGGAATTAGGTGTAGCTGCCAAGGTGAGGCAGTCACATGCTTAGTTGGGACAGTAAATCTAGGTATGACAGTAACTTGAGCTTCATGGTGCAGGAGCAAGATAAACCTTAATCAGTGGTCTTCTAGCTATCTGAGTTGGTTAAAAGCATTTGAAATCCTAGATACAAAATATGCTAGAGCCTGATAGAAATTATTGTGTAAGGAAATTAACATTATTTAAGTATCTGGATTGCAAATTAGATTGTGAGACAGCAAACAGTTTCTGGGTTACACACAAAGCAGCTGCTTCAAATGAAGGCACTTGCATGAGCTTTCTTTGCAGCTGAGTAACAGCATAATAACTTTACAGTATCCTTTCTTGTTTATGTCATCCATTTTCTCGCAGACATGCCTAGCTAAGCCCTTTTGCTTTTTAAAGCCTCTGTTTGCGTTGCTAACCAATGAAGACTTACAGCCTTTTGGCTTCGGACAAAGGATGATAATCTCTGGTGTACAGAGGTAGTTTAATAATCGAGTGGAAGGAATAACATCCAGTTTACACCAGAGCTCTGTTATATAGAAATGTGTGTAGTCAAGCCAGTGGGTGGATACTTGTCTGTCCTACCACCAAACTGCTTGTTTCCCATTTTCTTTCTTAATATCCACAGGCAAGAAAGTGGTTGGGTCAGGCAACAGTGTTGTGCTGCCTGTACTGAGCCTGGATTGGTGCAGTAGGGGCAAATTTATTTCATGGCTGTGAGGAGTTAGGCAGCATGCTGGCAGTGGACGGTAGTCGATTTAGAAGTTGGCTCAGTTGGTGCAAGTATTCATCCTCCCTTTCTTAGCCAACTTAGCAACTGCAGATGTCTTTGCCTCTGCATCCCAGGTCTTTTGTTGCTAAGAGCTTGGTTATACAAGCAGAGTCAACAGCTCTCTCTCAGCTGAAACAAACAAACAAACAAAAAAACCCAAAAAAACCCATGAAGCCACTTACATGTCAAAAAGACTGCTTTAAGTTGTTCTGGTTGAGTCACAGCGAAGAGAAGGATAGGAAAAAGGTTTTTGCTAGCTTACTGACAAAGATGATTGTAACTCAAAGAGAAATGGGTTTCACGTATAATGCAGAGAGAAATATTGACAGCACTGTAAATATTATTACATATTCATAAAGATCAAGGGAGCCTATGACAAAAATTCAGCTGTCGGAAACCTCTGCCTCTAGAACAGACTACTTTTTTTTTTTTAAAAAAAAAACCTATTCAGTGGTTGGTGAATCCTTCTATGTCTTTAACTTGCAGCAAATTGACTTGTAAAAGTTAAATGTATTTGCAGATCAATCTGTGTTTTGGTTATGTCTATAGGTTGATGACCTTCTCCTGGAAAAGGCAGCGGAGAAATATCCTTTCAACCCTCCTAAAACAAAAGAAAGTTATTACTACCGCCAGATCTTTGAAAAGCACTACCCAGGGCAAGGCAACTGGCTGCCCCACCACTGGATGCCAAGATGGGTTAAAGCTACTGATCCTTCTGCTCGCACATTGAAACATTACAAGTCAGCTACCCAAGAATAGGCTGTTGAAATAATCTCCCAAATAGAAGTGCTGCAAGCAATTTGCACACACTCTGCTTAAAAAAAGCAAATTATGCAAACCTAAAGCTTAAATGGTCTTTAAGATACATTTTGACAAAGCTGTTGGAAATAATAGCTTTCTGTGGTTAATGTACTATTAAAAATTCACCCTGCTGTACCAAAACATTGTAACTCATGCGAAAATACTTCATGGACAAGGAACTACCTTATTTGGCAGCTCTATTCCGTATGTGTGACCTCAATTATATTAATTTGCCTTGCAGTCATTTAATATATGTTAATGTAAGCTCTGTTTTTGAGGATACAAACTGCTGCGGGCCCTCTGAGCAAAGGAGAATTTGACCCTAGCTATTTAGTGATTTGTGTTGCTCACTGTGGGATTTGGATAGTCTGTCTATATTATTCTATTCTGAATGTCTTTCTGAGCATTCCTGAGAAGCTTGCTCTGGTTTTCAAAAGGTATTTAGATAGTCATAGCTATGCAGAGAGCTTACTAGAGTTTATAATAGTGGTGGTGCTGGATGATAATTAAATCAGTGGGAATCTTATTCGTTACTATAAAGCCACCAGTTGGCTATTTTGAGTCTTGTAAATATACCAGCAGTCTAAAGATATTGTGACTGTTATCAAAGAGCAGAACAAAGAAGAGAAGCCGAGTTATGTCTTTGTTTCTAACTCAAGGGCTTCAATTTTTAAATGTATTTACTATTCTTGAAAATAGTGTTAACCAGGTGATTTGTATCAGTCTGATGGAAGTTGCATGACTAAGCATTTTAAGAAATTTTTCACTTATTGTGAGTTTTTCTGCCTGTATGGTGAAGAGGTAGACTGTGTTGCTGCTCAACTGCATGTGGCCAGCTGTGTAGTGAACCAACCCTGTTAACCATAGATTTTAGTCAAACAAAGCATCACTGAAGACAACGGGACCAGACACCTTGCTTGGAAAGATAGGAAAAAAGCATCTTCAGAGACCACAAGAACTTCTGAATACCCTACTGAAAAACAAATTACCTTTTACCCAGGACAACTTTTTGTGAACTACTTAGGCAGGGGAGGTGCTTTTTTTAAGGTAACATAAGCATAAGGGTGGTCAAAAAATATACATGTGTGCTGCAGATTGTCTTGATTAGCATCATGCTCTTTATGAAGACAGAAGTCTAGTTATTTAAAAGATATTATTATTGTTATTTAAAAGATAAAATGTAAGCAATTCTGGTTTAAAATCATAAAATGAATGATTATCTATTTATTACTCCCCCCTAATCCTGCATTTGAATCTCTGTTCCAGAAACCTTACTGAAACCTTGTGGTGGTACCATCGAGCCCATGAACTGTCCAGCTATGGCCAGTAGTGGCCATATTTTGATATAAACTTGCACATAGTAGTTATTTATGAATATATGATGAGTAAGGTAATATGTTCCTGCAGCCTTCTTTACTTAAGGGCCATGTGCTTGTCTTTTTGGATTTCTTTGAAGCAGTAAAATATATTTTGATTTGGGAGAGGAGTATAGATTATGTTGATTAGGTACTGATGTGTGATTTACTACTCACTGTAAACTTCCCAGGGCTGAGATGATAAGAAAATAACATTTGCCTGAAGTAAAAATAGGCTTAACCGATTTTGGGGTCATTATTTGAATTAATTTTCTGCTGCAACATTGTCAGCTATTCAAGGAAATCCACCTTAGTTTTTTAAATTCCTAATACATTGGGAATTTATGTAGTGGGGCAAGATCCTAAATTGGTGATCCTAATTATTTTAGCTTTTTTAATGATGGGCAGAGAAAAAAATACTGTATTTGCTGCCTTATTCTTGTTAAAGATACAAATGCTAGACATCTCAGGAGGGAAAACCTGTTCATTCCTTCATTCCTTCTCCATGTATAAACTCAAATTCTACAGCATTTTTGGCTAATGTGACACTGTAGTGGTTTTTTTTGTTTGTTTGTTTTTTGTTTGTTTGTTTGTTTTTTTTAAGACAGCAGCTACTCTGAATCATCTGCTAGCTGCAAACATGTAGCTTTTCATGGGAGGGAATGGGAGGCAGGTCCAGTGTGCAACGCTGTCTTGAATGGTTTTACTTGTTATCTTTCTTTATTCCTGC